AAAATGCAAAGAAACGAATTTATCAGCTAAATTGAATAAATGTGATAAATCGGATAAATCGGATAAATTCATTAAATCCATTAAATTCGTTAAATTCGTTAAATTCGTTAAAATGGATAACTTGGACAATTGCGATAAAGTGACTTGACCCCGTGATAGTAGGCCGCAGTAAGTGGTCCGGATTCGGGGCTCACATTAGTAATCAATTTAAAAACTACCTGGCTTTAGACGACCTCAACGCGGGTCTCAGATGTCGATCGGCCTAAGTTAGAATAGTTTTAGGGTAGGAGAGAGATGTAAAATTATGGTTGCGCTCCAGAATTGGTCGGACAACTACTCCAGAATTCAAATTTTTTAACAGATTCGTTACCGAAACATCAAAAAAAAATTAATTAACATTGTTTATATATTTTATTTAATGAAAAAAAAAAAATTTAAAAAGCTATTTAATGAAACCAATTTATTTTATTTGATAAGTTTTTTTTTTAGAGAATTACTATTTCCACCCCCATTTTTGCTAATGCCACCCCCTAAATTTTAAAAATACTTCAGAAGAGGTATTGTTATTAAGAAAACCCTTCTTTTGATCTTAATAAAAGTTGTTTATCAGATCTTTCTGGTTCTAATAGTAGTAAAATTATTAAAATCAGACTAATAGTTTTTTTTAAAAGTAATTGAAAGTTAATTAACTTTGGAAATATATATCTTAGAAACTGATCTGAATATAATGATTTTACTACTATTAGAACTAGAAAGGCCTATTGAACAACTTTTATTAAGATCAAAAAAGGGTTTACTTAATAAAAATATCTATTTTGAAGCACTTTTTGATTTCTGAGGGGTGGCATTAGCAAAAATGGGGGTAGAAATAGCAATTCCCTTTTTTTATATTGTTGATCCTATAATGAACCTCTTCTATAAAAAACTCTGAATATAAATAACTTAAAATTTTCAAATTATATAATAAATAGCTCTCTATAAAAACGTTATGGGTTTAATGAACTTTAATTCGGTATAAAAAGGTTGATTGTAGTGTTTTGATATATTATCCATCAAATTCCATCACTCCATCGATTTCAAGAATCAACACTTTGTGATATTAGGCCGCACAAAGCCAATTTTTCGTTTTGTAATACATGAATTTCAAAATCCCAGTCGGTCGGTCTGATTTTTTTTTTTTTAATTACAGTAAATTAATAGGTTCATATTCACATTTAAGGCTATGCGAAGTTAATTTTTCGCTTTGCATAACATGGAATCAGAAAATTGGGTCGGTAGTCGAATTTTTTTTATCAGTCTTATCGAATAATTCCAGAAAACTAAGGTCTTTATCGAGTGATACCGGATTAATCTTATGGAAAAAATTAAATGGCAAAAATAGAATAATTGACACAATTTGGATTTTAAAAAAAAATTTTTCTGAGAAATTGAAAAAAATGGGTCAGCAAAACGAAAAATCAACTTTGTGTGACCTAATCACTTGGATCGCATTTGATTCATCATTCTTCCCATAGTATTCTAAGCTTTACCTACTCTTAGTCTTAGAAATCTTTATAATTCCCTATACACGGTTGGTGACAAATTTGTTTATTGTGTTTTATCCGCTCTCCCTTTCAAAACTGTTACAATACGTACAGTACGTATATTCATAAAATTCATAAAGGAGCGATTTTTATATGTTATTGATTGTTAGAGCTAAAAGTTATGAGTTTGGCTCGACAAAATTCTTATTCTCCGATGTTACAGTAACAATAGACCAGGACTCTGGATAAAATATTTATCCGGATTTATTACACATGCAGATAAATTTGGCCAAGCATTGATACGAAATATTCTGAAAGTCGGACAAAATAAATTTCCGAAATGTTCCGAAGACAAATAAAAATATAGGTAGGTTACATCTCCTGGCATTTAGTGCAATAGTATGCATCAAATTTAAAGAATGCTTGCCTTACCCATCCACTATCGCCTAAAGATATATTTGAGAATTACTGACAGTAAAAAGCCCAAAGTTTTCAAACTTTAACTAAGATCGCATGAATTAAATTATTAAATAATAACAAAAATCCTACAGTCCGCAAAGAATTCAAGAAGGTTAGATAATGCAAGCTGAAAATTCAAACTTCTTGAATGTTAAATTAGCCATAACTAAGGCTGCAGCTTACTCTATATTTGAAATAAAGAACAAAACCACTTTTACCCAAAAATACATTATATTAGTAAAGTTTTACATGAATTTAGAAACATTAATTACATTAAAGTTAATAAGAATTATAAAAAAAATTACCTGTTACCAATTTTATTTAGCATAAAGTTTATGTGCTATTTTTGAAAAGAATTTGAAATATACCATATGCTTAAATATTTATCCAGGCAATATAAATGAAGCGTGAGCTATGATTAATATTAATATAATCTTGAACAATTAAATTTATATATTTATCGACTTTAATTGTTTGTTTTGTTATTGGAAGTTTATTCACAGATAATTAAAAAAAAATTATTAACGTACAAATACTTGTGATTTTAATTATTTGTGTAAATTAAAAATTCATCTAATTTTAAATAATTAGATAAGTAAATTCGGGTTACCTATAATTCAAATAAATTGTTCGTGGTATTAATGTAGTGTAAGTTATGCTTGCAATGATTTTAAAATACTTTTTACTGTATAGTAACAAATTAAAATCAACATTTTTTTTTTTGCGGTAAAATAAATTTTAACATAACCATTATGGGGACTTGTATCAGTAAAATATGGTTGAATAAACCTCTTCCTAAACCCGAAGAAATTATGTCAACGCCTAATAATTCAACAAACTCTTATGATCATTTTCGTTTTTCTGAGGGTAGAAGATATCATAACGTAGGAAATGCTGTATATTTCTTACCTAACGATGACGATGAATGCGATAGATTGCATTTACAGCATATTATGGAAAGATTTATTTGGCAAAGTAACTTTTTTTCTCCAGTTGAAGATCTCCTTAACCAAGATGGAACAATGGTTCTCGATTCGGGGTAAATGCATATTTGATTTATAACTATATTAAAATTGTATAATAATAATAATAGTAATAATAATAATAATAATAATAATAAAATAATAAAATAATAATAATAATAATAATAAAATAATAATAATTGTCGTGACTGAAGATGAAAACGGCGGAAGCTGGAAATTTCAATAATTTTAATATGAAATTTTGGAGATGCATTTTCTTGGTTTTTTTTTTTTTTTAATAGTTAGGTTAGGGTTTAGGTTAGTTTTGATAATAAAAGAGTATAAGTGGATTTATATTTTTTTTTAATTGAGGTTCCTAATTTCCAGCTTCAGCCATTTCCAGCTTCAGCCGCGACAATAATTATTATTATTACTTTAATCATTACTTTAGAACAGGTGCTGGTTCTTGGCCGCTCGAAATGGCAGTTAACTATCCAAAATCTAAATTTATCGGAATTGATATTTCTCCAGTTCAGTCTAAAGAAAATAAGCCTCCTAATGTTGAATTTATTAAGGCAAACGTATTAGAACGTTTACCTTTTGATGATAATACTTTTGATTTTATATTTCAGCGATTTTTGACCGCCGGAATTCCCACAGATAAATGGCCATCAGTAATTAATGAACTGGTTCGCATATTAAAGCCCGGTGGTTACTTGGAGGTTTGTTGTATTATTTTATCTTAAATATATTAATGAAAAAATGAGTTACAATAATTTTTTATTAGTTAGCAGAAAATGACATTCATTATATCTCTATGGGTCCTGCTTCAGAAAAACTTATTGAAGGCTGTAAGGATTACATCAATTAATTCGTCATGATTGTCCTTTACAATGCAATATTCTTATTTAATATACTGTACAATATACTTTTTTTTTAGTATCAATTCTACTTCATGAACGTGGCTTAGATCCAACTGCATGTTATAAAATACAAAAATATTTGGAAGAAAATGACCAACTTCATAATGTTAATTGCGAAGAAAAGAAATGTGTAGATGATCAAGATGCCATCAGAGTGTACAAATTGGTAAAGTATTAGTATAAAAAATAATTATTTAGAATAATTAATGAATAATAATTCTATTATCTATTATGTATTTAGCTCGGTGAAGATTATTCTACTGCTATGGCAAATATGAAACCTGTGCTAATACATATAGTTAACGTTTCTAATGATGAATATGACCGTTTAGTTAAAGAGTTTGAAAAAGAAACAATAGAATTAGAATCCTTTACTCCGCACATACGTGCTTATGCTCAAAAAAAATTTTGATGAATTAGTATTACAAGTTAATAAGATATATGTAATTAATACAGTAATACGTATTAATTTCGATATTATAATTAAGTTAATTATTTTAATTATGTTTTATACTACCAATTACTGTATATTCGTTTTGTGAATCAAAATAAAAATAAGACAAAAGGTTATTTGATTGCTTGATTGAATTGCGCCATAGTTTATCTTCAAGGTGCATCTACAAGAATTTGTCATGTACGTACCTGGGTTGAAATTGCTATTATGGTTATAGTGATTTATCGGAATAACTCGGATATTTAATAATACCCGGATAGAGATTTTCCCAATCCTTATTTGTCATGCAGGGGAAGGCTATCTTTCTTTTCATTATCGATCTCCTCGTGATAAAAACTGGCTCTATCGCTCCGTTTTCAATAATAGTACAAATTTTCCTGAATTATGCAAATTATGAGAATTATGCGAATCACGAAGAAAAAAACGGAAAACGATGGTCTAAACTATTTTGGTATATTAACAAAAATTGTTGGGGACGCAGTTTTACACATAATAACAGCCCTAATTATAATAAAAACACCCAATACGTACTAATGCTAATTAGATAATAATTCCAAAAATTTGGTGCTGTTTTAATTAAAGTTTTATACTTTCAAATTATTATGGTCATCAGAAATCTCTGAAATTCTTTGCAATACAATATGATATTTTTACAAATTGCCATTTAAAAAATAATAGCTCCCATGATTTCCTATCAATTTCAATTCATCAATATAATATTCGTTTGTATATTGATATTGTAATTAGTTGACCAAGCAGAAATGAAAATTTTTAGTTTATTCAAATTTTTACAAATTTTGAATGAAAGTATGGCAACACCATTCCATTTATTTTCATTTAATCGAAGCTATTCTCAATTATACAAACTAGTAGAATTTAAAAATGGACTTAAATTTAAATTTGTTAAATAATTATTGCTAATTCTTCGTTCGAAGTACCAGGAACGTAGTGAAACGTGCATGGTTTACTGAAGAGTTAAATGGAGACCGCAAAATCCGAGCATTAATTGGTTAATTAAATCTCATAACTTTGGTGATTTCTATATTTGTGTACGTAGGAATGTAATATGAAGTACGAGCGACCGTCGATGTTACACGACTGATTTTTCACCCGGTGTGCAACATATAAAAAAACTATTTTACAATACCAGATCATTCCGACAGTACATGTTATGATTATAATCCCACACCATTTTTATTATTAAAAATGGTGTGGGATTATAATCATAACATGTACTGTCGGAATGATCTGGTATTGTAAAATAGTTTTTTTATATGTTGCACACCGGGTGAAAAATCAGTCGTGTAACATCGACGGTCGCTCCTGTAGAAGTACGGAGAGTATACCATGAACGTAGTACAATTACGAAGTGTATAGAGATAGTTTAATTGATGTGTACAAAATCTTAGATTTGATTGGATGATCGTATCTCGCGATTTGATTTCTTATTCGTGTGTATGAAATGCTCTTATTCATGACCCAAATAGCTTGATCACGTGACGAGAACAGCCAATCAAAATAATTAAAATATTGATTCGAAAATTTTTAAGATTTTAGCGAAGATTTCTTAGTAATTGCTTGAATAAACTTATCAAAAAGGTTATTATTCTAATTCTTACTTTTGTAAAAATTAAAATAAAAAGGGAATGCCTATTTCCACCATTGGTTACACAAAGATTTACAAGATTTTCTATTTTTAGTATTTATATAGTTTTTTAAAAATTAAAGAATTTTTTAATAAGCAAACCTTTCTTCAGCTCTAAGAAAAGTTGTAGAGGAGATTTTTCTAGTTCTAATGGTGGTTAGATCATTAAAATCGGCCTGGTGGACCCCAAGATATTTGGGTTAAAGGCATGAACATAAAGATTTACAAATTCACTATTACGCAAAGTATTATACAGTCAAGCCTTTCTAAGTGCATGACCTTGAGACCACACTTTAATAATGTGCATATAGAGAAAATAAGGAAAAGTGCATTTATAGAGGTCAAATATATGTTTGGGCCAGCACTTGAGTGTGCATTTAGAGAGGGTGTGCACTTATAGAGGGTGCATTTAGAAAGGTCTGACTGTATATAGTTTATAATACTATGAATTTGTAAATCTTTATATTTGCACCTTTAACCCAAATATCTTGGAATCCACCAGGCCGATTTTAAATCTAACCACCATTAGAACCAGAAAAATCTCCTCTACAACTTTTCTTAGAGCTGGAAGAAAAGTTTACTTATTAGGTTTAGTTTTAGGGTTAGAGTAATATTAAAATTTAAAATTAAAGTTAGGGTTATATGTATTTTTATATTATTATCTAAAAATAGAAAATTTCATATAACCATGGTGGAAATAGTAAATTATCATGGTGGAAATAGCAATTTCCTAAAAAAATTCATCAAATTCTGATAGGTGGTTGTTGAGAAATTTTTACTAAAAGTTTTAAAAAATATTTGATTATTAAAAAATTCAAAGTAAATTTCTTTTTCTTAATTAATTTCTTATTTTAATTCTATAAGCTTATAGAATTAAATAAAAAAAAAACTTTATTAAAATTGAAAATTAGTTAAAAAATCACTTAAGCTTTCAAAAAAAAATAGCTACTTTTTTTTTTTTATAGATATATAACTTGAATAATAATTATTTAGACACACCTAATCAAATTTAATCAAAATTTTTTATTTTATTTTTATAAATTTATAGAATTATTTTTGAATGATTGATAAGTGCCAAATAATATTTGTTCAAAGTTTAAGTGTCTATAAAAAAACTGCAACTGATTTCTTTTAACAAAATTTCACAACAAACTTTAATAAATTTTTTTATTTTATTATAAAAAATTTTAAAATATTAATTTGAGAATTCTTATTTAAGTTTTTAAAAATATTTAAAAAATATTGCAATAAATATTTTATTTAAACTTTTAATAAAGATTTCTTAACAAGAATTAATGCAAATTTGATAATAATTATTTATTTCAATTTTATAAATTTATGAATTACTTAATATAAAAAAGTTTATTAAAATTGAATAAGTAGTTATTAAAAATATTACTTTAAGTTTTTAAAAAATTAACAAAAGCTTTTTTTTTATAAATATTTGAACTTTGAGCAAAGATTAGAAATTTTATTTTAATTCTATAAGTTTATAAATAAAATAAAAAAATTATTAAATCTAATTAGATAATTGTTAAGTAATTTTATTCAAAGTTTAAGTATTTAAAATAAAAAACTTATTGAGTTTAAATTGATAATAATTGAGAAATCTTTATTTAAAAATTTCTCAACAACTTTCTTTTCAAATTTGATATTTCAATTCTAGTAACTTTAATTAAGCTATACTAAGAAATATTCACTAAAATCTTTACTAAAATCTTAAAAAAGTTTTTACAATTTTAAAAGAATTTTCAGTGGTTAGATTATTTTGATTGGCTATTTATATTATATTTTTTTTTGCTATAGCTAGAGTACTTCTAAAAATATTATTTCAAGAATTGTTACATATTAGAATGTAATAATATAATTAGAAAGTTATTATAAAATCTTGATTACTATTTAAAGTAGAAAAATTAAAAAAGAAATATTGTTATAGGATATTTAGAGTTAAAAATTTTTTTTAAAAAAAGTATAATAGAAATTTTATTGTTGTAAAATTATTGTTGGTTAAAAAAAAAGTAATAGATACTATATTTAAAGAAAAACGAAGATTTAAATTTATAATGCCTTTTTTCTTTACTAACTCTAACCAGGCTCTTTTATAAATGGTCTCTTCTATAATAATAATAATTTATCATATTCTATTATCTATTAAAATACATAAAAATATATTTAATTTTCATTATAATGTATTATTATAATTATTAAACGAATGTATAGATTTATTATTATATACGTACATGAACTTTCAATGTTATTGGAAATATGAAGATCAATTAAAGAAGAGTCTAAAAATAATATAATATTTAGTTTTATCGAAAAATATTTAGACAAATTTTAATTTTAAATAATACCTTTAATTGCACTTGAAATGTTTTGCGTATTAATAATTTTACTTGTGTACATATGATCCGGATGAGTTTGAGGGATTATTGGAAATGTTTTAATAATTTTATCAGCATTTACGAACAGTTTTTTGATTTCGTTTTCATCATCTGAAGTTAAATAATTAAGCCATTCATCAATTTTTTTCCAAATATCATAAGCAATAGGCCGTTCTTGTGGATCTGAATTCATACACCGATTTGCCAATTCAATATAACAATCAGGAGTCCCAGGTGCAAACTTTGGTCGCAATCCATTGCAAATTTCGATTGCAAGCTCCATATCAAACTTATAGCCATCGAAGGGTCTTTGACCAGTTGTTAATTCAGTCATAATAATACCAAAGCTATAGATATCTGCTTTTTTAGTAAATTGTTGTTTTCCTGATAAAACTTCTGGAGCAACATTAGGCATGACCCCAAAAATAGCACCTTTTGCACCATCATCTACTTTTTGAGATAATCCAAGATCCGAAACATAGGAAGTACCTTTATTATGAAGAATGTTACCACTGTGAAGGTCAGCATGAATATACCCAGCCTCATGAATTTGGTCTAAGTCTCTGGATATGTCTCTGAGTTGTTTTAATTTAAACTCCCATGAAATGTTATTTAAATTTGATTGTAAAAACTTGCAAATATTTCCATCATTAGCATACTGAAATACCATAAAGTATTCATTTGCTATTGAGTTATAAGTTAAACCATATATCTGAAGTCTACTGCCGTGTAATTTACATTTCACGTGATTATTAAACTTAGAGATTATATAAAATCATTAGTTCAAGAGACTTTTATGACTTTTACATTAGGTATCAAATATAATTTTAACCTACCTCGCTTAAAAATCCAACACAGTTTTGATTTGTCTTTGTCTTTGAACCAGACAAAGTCTTAAGTGCGACGATGCTGTTTGGTTCACGTGATCT